CTCCTATGTTAACAATATTCTATAAATTGTGTAGGACATTATATGGTAAAATTAAGCTTATTAGTTTTATATTTTTAAGGGTCTTATATATTTTTGCTTATTAACTATCCACTTAATATGTAAAATCTGAAAGAAATATATTAATATTTTCGCTCTTTTATCATGTTTTATCTATGTTTTTACCATTTTTTTAAGGATTTTTCTAAATATTTGGTTCCTATGTTGTTTGCTATATGAAGATTTATTCCTATATCATCTATAGGGGAGTAGCTTTTGTTTTTACTTAATATCCCCACTTTGTCTCATTTGAATGTCTTTGGATATGAATTCTGCTTTATCTGTTATTATCACTATTCCTACTTTCCATATATTACATTTGCGCGATTCACCTTTTCTCATTTTTTAAATTTTCAACTGATTTTCCTATGTTTTTTACTATGTTTCTGTTAAACTACAAATAGAATTTTGGTTTTTTAACCCAATATGGCCTCCTTTGACTTTGACAGAGAAATTAGTCTATTAACAATGTGTGCTAATCAGCATATCAGGTTTTATTTCTCCCAACACATTTTTTGTCCACTGTATGTTATGCTTCTCCATTATTACTTAGTTTCTCTTTTCTTACTTTGCTAACTTGGCAAAGTTTCTCTTTATTTTCTTTTCCCTATTTAATCCTTTCTATTAACTTGCAAGTTTACTCTGCTTTTCCAATTTGTTCATGTCTACATTCCTATCCTGAAGAGTCATAATTCCTATATTCCTCCTTTATTATATCAGTATTAAATAATAATTATGCCTGTACCATTTCACCAAATTATTTTATTAACGTTCTTTAAAGAAGAAGTTTAGAACCTTTTCTTTTCTCCCCTTCCCGTTTACTAAAAACTTTTTGCTGAGGTAGTTCAGGATTTTTACTACTGGGCTGTATTTAATAGGCTGTATTTAAGCTTTCACTTCTAATATATATTTTCTCCCTCAAGAACCTTTCTTATCACTTGTCCTATAAATTCATTCTCATAGTATCATCCATTTAGATTATACATTTCAAGAATAATTGTGCAGTACTGGACTCTTCATCTTATCCTTTCAATGCATGCTGTTTGAAAATGCCATACTTTTTATTATAAAATATTTTATACAAAAATAAACCCATAATGCATATGACATATGTAAAACAAAGTAATTAACATCCACGTATCTACTCACATGGATGAGTATAAATATTACCAACACTCTTGAAACTCATTGGATCTTTCCTCCCTGATCACGTCCTTTTGACACTTTCTTCAGAAAAACTCTATATCTTGAATTTGAGATTTATCATTCTCTTGTATTATTCTTCAGATTTTCAGAATATCTATGTGCCCCTTACCAATACACTCTTTAGTTTTGAGGGGTTTTTCCACTTATAGAAATGGTATCATATGGTATGTATATTTCTACAATTTGATCTTATTGCCTAATAAAATATTTTGAAGTTCGTTGATTCTGATGTGTATATCTGGTTTATTCATTTTTTATACACTATCTTAATCCAATCTATGAGTGTCTATCATTTATCCTTTCTCATGTTGATTGACATTTGCTTCCACTTTGAGGCCTGTTAAATACAATGCAGCTGTGAACATTCTTGCACATGTGTCCTGTAGCTCATGTGTAAGCATTTCCACAGACAAGGTACACACCTGCATTTGGGATTGCTCAGAAGTCAGAGTATTGAGCAAGGAGTGACATAGTCTGATTTAAGTTTTTAAAGTTTCTCTCAGCTGTGTAGAGAATAGTCTATAGAAAAATGAAAGCTGGGAAATCAGCCAGCACATTTTGCAATAGTCCAACTGTGATGGTGGTGACTAAAATTATGGTAGTAGCAGTGGAAATGGGAGGAAGGGATTGAATTTGAGTTATATTTTCATGGTAATCCACCAAGATTTGCTGTGATGAATTGGATGTGAGGGAAGAGAGTAAGTAAGGTATCAATAATGACTCTAGAGTTTTTGGCCAGAGCAAGTTTGTAAATGGATTTGCAAAAACTAGAAGATGTAGTTTTTGGGCCAGTGCATCAAAGTTCTACTCTAAACATACTAAGTTGGGTGGAAAAGCTGAGTAGACAGTTGGAATGTTGGATCTAGAGTTCCTGGAAAAGGCTGGAACTAGAATTATAAATTTGGTGATCATTCATATCCAGATGATATTAGAGATATAGGACTAGATGCCATCACCTAGAAAGAGAGTATAGATATCTAAGAGAAGTCTGAGGATTGAACTCTGGGCAGTCCAAGATTTAGAAGTTGAGAAGATGAAAAAGAGCCAGCCAGAGAGACTAAAAGAGTGGCAACAAGAGTGAGGTATGTGGAAGCCAAGGGAATAGAATATTATAAGCAGGAAATGATCAACTGTACTAAGTATTACTGATGGGTTGATTAAGACAAGGACTGAGAATTGATATATTAGGATTGGAACAAATCTTAAAGACATTTAGTTAAAACTTTGTGCTCTTTCTGACAATCTCTTACCTATACCTCTTCTCTAGAATCCCATCAAATGAAAATGCAGTTCATGCCTGAAATTCCAGGGTGATTGTGTTAGTGGATAGAAAGAGTTTGGGCTTTAAAGTCCATATAATCTGCACTCTACTACTGCAACGTTGGGCATGGCATCTTCTCCACTCTTCATTTTTCCAGTGTACAAATGAAGTTAATACCTTTCAAGATAGTTGTGAGGCTAAATGATACATACATACATACACACACATATATATATACACACACACACACACACATATATATATATAAAATTCCTGTCATATAGAAGATATTCCATGAATATTAATTCCCTTCCCTTTGTGACTCATTTCTTCCCCAGAAAGCCTGTTTGATTTCTTTAAACAATATTGTATCCTTTCGTTTATTGACCCTGGCAATTGTTTCCCGGTCACTTACAAGTTCTACATCAACTTCTTGGGGCTTTATAGAACATGTGTAATCCATTTTCTTTATGACAATACCATGGACTCAGAAACACAAAGGCAAATGCTACCTACAGAGACTAGGTAGGTAACTTAATTGGGTGCAATGACAAGACTTAAGAAAACGGGTCATTGGCTTACCACCAATTTGTGGCAGGAACTGGGAAAACTGGAGTGCTCATGTTCCATCCAAAAGCAGCAGCTACAACTCAACTGTTACAGATTTTGGCCACCTAACTAATTCAGGTATGTTCTCATGATTATGGTCAGCACTGTATGAGCCAAACAAAACATGTCTATGATCAGGTACTAGAGCTAGCAAATTGCAACCTCTGCCTAGATAATTGCAAACAGTTATCAGGCTTCCTTTAGCTAAACAGCCCAATCACTTCATACTGATAAGCAGTCCATGCCTAGCACAGAGCATGGGCTCAATCCAACCTGCTCTCAGATCACCAGGACTTTCTTTAATTCACCCGAAAGAATCTGTGAACTAGCAGCAGCCCAGATAAGCATCCAGGACTTCTTTAATCATTTCTCATGAGCAGATTCTACTCCTCTCACCATCAGATGTTTTTTTCCCCTAACATGTCATGATCCATCGAAGTCAAAACTGTAGAAATATAATTGTGGTCTGACCAGAGCAGGGCATAGATTCTCTCCTCCCTTAATTTAGAAAAGCGGAATTGTTAATTTGGGGTCTGTAGATCTTATAATAGTTCATGGATTGATTCCAAAAGATCTATGAACCTGCAGAAATTGTATAAAAGATTTTGTGGGGCTTGTATATATATATGCACATCATTTAACAGATTCTTAAAAGAATAGAGCCTGGAAGATTCAACAACCACTATAGACTATGTTCCAATTAATGTAATCTGTAACATTAGTTTTTGGAAGCCTGTTCTGTCAGAATATTGTCCAATATTGAAATGTAAATTAAAACCACAATGAGATATCATCTTACGCCAGTCAGAATGGCCTTTATTAAAATGAGAAAAAATAACAGATGTTGGCATGTATGTGGTGAAAAGGGAACACTTATACACTGTTGGTAGGTTAGTAAATTAGTACAACCTCTATGAAGATCAGTGTGGAGATATCTCAAAGAACTGACAATAGATCTACTATTTGATCTTCCAATCCCCACCAGTGGATATCTACCCAGAAGAAAAATCATTACATCAAAAAGATGCCTGCACTCATGTTTATCGCAGCACAGTTCACAATCACAAAGATAGGGAATCAACCTATGTGCCCATCAACTGATGAGTGTATAAAGAAAATGTGATTTATTTATATATATATGTATATATATATTAACATATATACACACACAGAGTATTACTCAGTGATAAGAAAGAATGAAATGTCCTTTTGCAGTAACTTGGATAGAACTGGAGGCAGTTATCCTAAGTAAAATAACTCAGGAACAGAAAAATACCACGTTCTCACTTATAAGTGGAAGCTCAACTATGGCTACTCAAGGGCGCAAAGAGTGGTGTAATGGACACTAGAGACTCAAAATGGAAAGTAGGAGGAGGTGAAGGAAAAATTATCTGTGGGTAAAATTATACTATTTAGGTGATGAGTATACCAAATGCCCAAACTTCACCACTGTACAATATATACATATAATGGAATTAAACTTGTACCCCCTAAATCTATTAAAATGAAAAAAAAGGAAAGTAAATAAAAGGTTAGAAACAAATGAAAAAGAATATTGACCAATACTAATCATTGTCTCTATTAAAAGCTCTTTGTCTTTTCATTCATGTCTTTTCATACAAAGGCCCATAACTGCCAGCTACACAATGTTGTAATTTAATTACCCACACTCCACCAACCCAATGAATGGTGCTGTACTTAATTATTTAATCTAAGTCTGATACCTAACATTTTTTCATTTTATTTCATTTTATTAGATTGTTGCTAAAATCTGTAATGCTGTGATTCTAAGACTTAAGAAAAATAATATTCTGTTGGGAAATTTAGCTCATATATATTTACGTTTTTTTTTTTTCCTCCTCTATAGGTCGAAAGTTTAAAAAGTTCAATAAAGTCAGAGTTATGAGATCACTAGATGCTGTTGCTCTCCCACAGCCAGTGGGCATTTCAAGTGAAAGCCAAGCCTTAAGCCAGAGGATCACTTTTTCACCAAGTCAAGAATTACAGTTGATCCCACCACTGATCAACCTGTTAATGAACATTGAACCGGATGTGGTCTATGCAGGACATGACAACACAAAACCAGATACCTCCAGTTCTTTGCTGACCAGTCTTAATCAACTAGGCGAGAGGCAACTTCTTTCAGTAGTCAAGTGGTCTAAATCATTGCCAGGTAATAATAATTTGTATATAACAGCATGTAATAGAAATGTACCATGTTTGTTATTAGATTATTAAATGAAACAGTCTATACAGTAAATTAACTATAATGTTATATATGTTATACTATAACAGCATGTTACAGTATATGTTGCAGCAATTCAAAATATTTGTCTAGGATCCTAATAGGTGTTATGAAAATATAAAAGAAGTAGAGAACACATTGAGTTCTATTGATGAATCATGAATTGCATACATGAAACAGCTAAGAAATAGTATAAGTTTATGTGTTCAACCACACATATTTGAGTAGTTCAGAGAAAGACAAGTTGACCATTTTTTTAAAAATGTCTAATTCATTCTAAACCCCAATTGAACCAACTTTAATTGGTCAAAAATAAAACTGAATGTGCCAACTCACATAACAAACCAAAATATAGTATCAGGTACAGCAAGGTGACACAATAGTCAATTAAGAAAACAAAATTTCTAAACATAAATAATTTGCACATGGAAAGATGAACCTCCGGTCACTATTTACTCTAATTTTTACCCAGACAAAGGGAGTAGGGCCCAGCAACAGAGAGAACTTGTGTTATATCATCATGAAAGGATTTAGGTCACTTCATTTATCAACTATTTTTGCTCAGCACAGCTCTCTGGGAGCCAGGTGGTTGAAAGAATTACAAGGAGGAAATTCTCACTTGGTTAAAAGTTAGACTGCAGAATGCCTATGTAGCCATTGCTTGTGGAGCTGTTAGTCCCATAATTAGAAATAGAACTTTTTTAAAAAATAAATTACATTCTCTACACATGAATAAAATCCTTATACTGCTTTAGACCAATTTATTTTTCCAATATTTGATCAGGAATTAAGCATATTATGTTCTTTTCCCAAATTCAATAGCTTTTTTAATGAAAAGAATTTTTTCCCAATTTGGCTTAATATATTTCTCAGTTATTATTCTACCTGAAAGGTTTCAAATACAATAGATGAATCATTATTGAAAATTCAGTTATATGAAACAGAAAGGAAAATAGATTCCTATTTGTTGAATCTTCTTAAAAATATATATTGAGCAAAGTTGATAAAATTCAGTATGCTAGTAGAGATGAAGTAATTTTATAGGTAAATCAAAATGCCCAGGTTCTTTTTAGCTTCATTCTTACTGAAAGGCCTTGGAAAGGTATTATTATTATTTTTTTACAAAAGTTCTGAATGTCTAAAACTCACTGTAAAGTAGTTATCAAATTTGATAGATCTTTATTAAATAAAAATATCACAAAAGAATTGATGAACTTTTTCTGTTTAAAAATGAGTGTTTAAATTTGTTTAATTTTGTCAATTTTTCTATTTAGAAAAGGTAATTTCTTTGGTTTTCATTGATATAGTTCATATTCTTTTTGTTTGCATTTTGAAGGTTCTTTACTATTTAAAAAGATTCAAGCTTCAGCTGGCAAAGTTAGGAAATAACCAGTTACAATTAAAAAGATAATTTATTTACTTTGGATAAAAAGTAAGTGAGATTTTTAAGTTGAAACAATTATCTATCAGGATTTTTTGACCCCACACAACCTCAGAAAAGAATGAGAGGAAATTTTTACATTGAATTTGGTAGCAACTTTTTTAATGTTGCAAAGTGTAATTCATGTGTAGTGAATCGGAATGACAACATACCAGTATTACACATATTGTTTCTATTGACTATAAACAGGGAAGCATTGATATTATCAAAGTATAGTGTATATCAAAGTATATCAAAGTATAGTTCATACTTCTGAATGAAGGCTCATACTTTGGATCAGAAGGTGCTGAGATATTTAATGCTTTGCCACTGTTGTAGATTAACTGTTTCAATAATATAACATTTTTTTACAGAATCACAACCTATATATTTTATCAAAACTCTGGAAGTAAGATCTGAGAACCTCTTAGATCATACAGGCCATCTCTTTACTGTATACTTTCATTTTTTAAAAAATCATTCAGAATTGGACACCTTGTAACAGGGCTTTTGTCAGGAATTATCAGGTCAAGTCACTTAAAAGGAAAGTGTTTGTTATTTTTTTAACACTTGTTAAACACAATTAGTGATCATCCATCACTTCTCTGTGTGAAGGTTTTCATTTTGATCATCATCTCAAATGTACTAAGTTTACCTGATCATTATCATCATTGGGAATTTGATCTCAGTGTTCCCATCTTTGTTTCAGTATAAAGTCATGAATGATATTACAGTTAATAGGGAAAAAAATTGCACTTCTGTACTAGACATGTTCAAGTCGATTTAACATTGTACATTTATCAGAGATTAGCCCTCTAAAAGATCGAGTAAATAAAGGTTACTTTTCTGGGTTCTAGTCCATTCTGTTAAATGGAAGTATACTTCCTGCTATAAATATTGGTAATTTGATGAATTTTCAGTTATTGCAATAATATATACCTTTTATATTATAATATGATACAAATGATTCTTTCTTTCTAGTCATTAATAACCCAGAATGCAGAAATAAAGAATAAGCAAAAGACAAAAACAAAAAATACGAGTAGGGTAAAGTGAATATGTAAATATAAATGTGGTAGAATCTGCCTTTGGAAAAGAACAAATTAACTGCTACATAACTTTGTAAAATTTTTTAAACTAAAATATTAATAAAAAACAAAGGCCTAAAGTGAAAAAATATAGCATAGTTAAATCAAATATTTAAGTGTTATGAAATACTCTCTTTAGAAAGTTGTAAAATTGACCAAGAAAGAATTAGAGAATACTAAATATATTCCTGGAGATTACAGTGGACAAATTGTAATGTTTAATACATTTGATTAATCAAACTTTACTTTCTGTGAGCCTGTCATTATTCATATGAAATATATAATTTTTCAAATATAATAACATATGAAATGTACCGGAAAATATATATTCCAGGTAGAGCACTTAATTTGTCTTTTGAATTTTATTTTTGCCATTAGTAACATTTATATTTTAGTTGTATCATATAAGTTCTATAATAAAAAATGCTTCCTGACATTGACATTTATTTTTGATCTTATTTTGTTTTAATGTTAGATACTTCTCATCAGACTGATTAGTGCCTTTCATACAGCCATTACTCCAATGAGCAATTCTGTTACAGGATCCAATGTTAGATTAATAATAAATATCTGCAAAGTGCTCTGCAATGTATATAATTATCCTATTCGAGTCTTCTAGAAACTCGTTGAATTAGTTATCATTATCATTGTGATTTTACCTATGAAGAAATTTAGATTTACTGATATTACATGACTTTCTCGAAGTAACATTTAGTAAGTAGTAGAGCCAGGACTGGAACTTGGGTCTTCTCTCCTGAACTCCTTCTAATTTATTGAGAAAGATCAGCAATAGGGAGGTTTATATGTGCCTCCAAAGTCCTGCTTTTCAAAAGTTAGGACATTTCATTGATTTCTTACCAAATTATTCTAAATTTTATCAGATAATTATTCATTTTTATAAAATCTCTTAAATCATTTACAAGCAGCAGTTATATACTAGATTTATTATGTTAAGATTCATCATTTTTTAAAAAAAAAGTTAATGCAGACATCTACTTGTTGCATATAAGTCATATGAACATTTTTTAAAATTATGAAAATTGCATGCCAGAATTATTTTTTTGGCTGTTTATTTAGAGAGTCATTCTAAACCTGAGTAAATTAAGAATTATTGGATGCAAGCAATAAAAACCAAGTATGTTAATTATAAACAAACAAAAAACCTTCTGGCTATCAAAAACAAAATAAAAAAGAAGAATGTGCTGAAAGGACACCAGGGATTCACTGAATAGAAGCTAGAGGACAAGCTTAGAAAATGGACAGAAACCAAGACTTCTCTTAAAGGCCAATAAACAAACATCACAAGTTCACCCGTTGGGTCCCATTATCACTGGACACCACTGCCATCAAGAATAAAGAACCATATCTTTGTCTTTGTGTTAGTTTACTATTTTCTGATTCAAATTCCTGGTAGCATGTGTTACACAGGCCAAGCCCAGGGCTGGAAAGGTTTCCTTGGTGGGAGTTGGGGAGGGGGAGGCAGGGCACTTGCTCTCACAAACCAAACCAATGGGGAACTCTATCCACACAGAGAAAGAGGAGGAGGAAGGAGGGGGAGGTAGGTTAGACTCTGAAGAACACCCCCCTACAAAAAAAAGGTAAATATTCACTATGGCATCCCTAATTATGGATATACAATAGAGTTTTTGGTCCCAGTGAGGTTAAGGAGTTCTAAGACAAGAATAACACTATTTTTACTATTCAGATGAAAATGGGACTATTTGGAGTATATGGAGAGAAGATAATCTTTTTCTTTTCTGCTACCTATCTTGAAATGATTAGCTAATGAATTAAGTTTTGCTTTAGTTTTACTTTCGAAATAGATTATTTGTAAGTAGACTTCAATGGATTTCTAGTGAAAAAGGTTATGTATATTTCCCTTGCTCCCCTCCCCCTCGAGTCAGAGCTTCAACCATGTCCATCCCCTATTTGGTGCGCATCACTCTCATTATGTATGTATATACCCATCCCCTCCCCCCCACCTGCCCGACAGCCTATAGATGTTATTCCTATATGTCCACTTATGCTTCTTTATAGACATACCAGACCTCCCATGACTTCAAACACATCTTTGCCTTTCCCTCTTTTAAGTTCTTCAGTGCCTAGCTGGTGGTCTTTCCCCTAGAATTGGGAAGAGATGTAGAGAAGACATGTGAGGATTAAGTCGAGATTCATTGGCCCTTTCCCTGCCATCCTCCATCTGCCACCAACACCAGAGAACAGCCTAAAAGAGGATGAAAGACCAAAGTATTCATTCTCTCTCTCTCTCTCTCTCTCACACACACACACACACACACACACACACACTCCAAACCTCTTAAACCATATGGAAGTTTAAAATAAGACTGGATTAAGTTTTAAAGAACAAAAGTGAACTGAAAGAAAACTCTGGATTCTACCTAAGACATAATTAAAGATTATTAAAGGAAAATTAGATATAGCACAATTGAAAGCAGTGGTATTACAAAATAAAACCAGTGTATATTTAAATCCCAAAGAATTGAGATTCAATAAACTAATTATATTCTGCTCGGGCATTATCTTTCTCTTTTAGAAAGTTTTCCTGACTTGCCTCCTGATTGCCTGGTGTACTCCCTCTAACCTTCTCTGTCACAGCACCTGTGTGCTGGTCTCTCCTATTGAACTGTGAGCTGCTTTTTGAGGCTAGAACTGAGTCATCTTCATCTTTGGAACCCTTGCATGTTAACACAGTGCTTTGCACACAAATGGTTCTCATTAAATGGGTGTTGCATGAATGAGTGGTAGATGAGTGGTAGATGATGGATTCAACTAGCAAATTCTCAGAAATGCCAAATCACATTGGCTAGTTTTATTTTTTTATTTTATTTTATTTTTTTTGAGACAGAGTCTCACTGTGTTGCCCAGGCTAGAGTGAGTGCCGTGGTGTCAGCCTTGCTCACAGCAACTTCAAACTCCTGGGCTCAAGCAATCCCACTGCCTCAGCCTCCCGAGTAGCTGGGACTACAGGCATGCACCACCATGCCCGGCTAATTTTTTCTAGATATATTAGTTGGCCAATTAATTTCTTTCTATTTATAGTAGAGATGGGGTCTCGCTCTTGCTCAGGCTGGTTTCGAACTCCTGACCTCAAGCAATCTGCCTGCCTCAGCCTCCCAGAGTGCTAGGATTACAGGCGTGAGCCACCACGCCTGGCCGGCTAGTTTTAAATGACTTCCAAAGTTGCTACCCTTTTTTCATTTTTTAGGCTGTATTATTTATTAATACTTTGTGATTTTTAGTGTTAAATACATTGAGATTGGAAACATATTACCCTACTCACATCTATTTTGAAATTTCTATGTATTTTCAACATTTTTGACATAATTAGGTGATTTTTGTGATCATTTTACTTTTAAATTTGTTTTGCAGGTTTTCGAAATTTACATATTGATGACCAGATAACTCTCATCCAGTATTCTTGGATGAGCTTAATGGTGTTTGGACTGGGATGGAGATCCTACAAACACGTCAGTGGGCAGATGTTATATTTCGCACCTGATCTAATACTAAATGAGTAAGTAGTAACTTTTGCTATTCTTGTTATTATCATAAGTATATGTGTAGGATAATTTTGAAATTTATATTTCAGTATATGGTCACACACTTAGTGTCCTAAATAATAAAATTCTCCTGAAGGGCTTCTCAGAATCACCTCACGATATAGCTTGCTATGATATTATTAATAAAATTGTATCATTTTTCAATAATTTGATATTCAGAACTTTTTCATCTTGTTTCAGTATATATTGTAGTCTCAAATACAATTTTTTTAAACTTCACAAATATATCAAGAAATATATTAAAAGATAAAATTAAATATTTAGTTTATCAGATTTCAATTTCATACCTTGGTATTATGACAACAATGAAATAAATGAGAAATATTTTTGCTTGAAAGTAAGGCTTACCTTCAAAAAGTGAAAGCATTATCTTTCTTCCTATAGGAAAAATGAGACTGATAATTTACTTTAAAAATTGAAAGATAAATATTTCAATTTGCTTCATTTTATTTAAATAGCTGTAATTAATTTTCTACATATAAACTTTAAGTGAATAAGAATCTTTTCATGGTAATATTTATAATGTTCTAATGGTGAATGCTAACTTAGAAGAATATAACTTAATAATTTACGCATATATAAGCCTTTACAGTTTATAGATAATTTTCATGTGTTTAATTCCATTTTACCCAACAATCCCTTGAAATAGATAAGGAATCAGCATCCTTCATTTTACAGTTCAGGAAACCAAGGCTCAGAAAAATGATTTATCTCTTCTGAGTCAAATAGTCAAAATCTAGTTTTCATTATTCCTGTTAGCTTCATTTGACTAATATGAACATTATAAAACAACACATGGTTTAGAAAATACCTCAAATAAATTTCCTAAACCTTTGTGTTGAACCTTGTCAGTTATTTAATGCTTGCTATGCTAACATACTCTTTTGCTTTTTTCTATATTACCATATATTTCCCCTATAAAACTAAGTTTCAGTGAACTGAATCAATTATCCCATTGAATTACATGCAAAATGATATGCATGTTTTCACAGAAAAAAAAAAACTTATAATAAAGCATTTCTGAGCAGCCATCAGCTCCACATTCTCTACTCCTACGACTTTGCTCTCCTTTTTCAGTTTAGACATTTAAAGTGTGATAACAAAAGTGAGAAACAATGTCAGTGTCAATGGAATATAATTTTTTAACTTTAACATTTCCTAACCTCAAAAATTCAGTATTACGTAAAAGTTTAGAAGATGTTAAAAATTCAAAATATTGAATTTGTGAATTTGTTTATTAAAAGTAGTAATCACATTCAATAATATGTAAGATAATTACCAAAATCACATTCCCTGATGAAGTACATAAGCTGACTAAGACACTTTTTTTTTTCTGTTGCTTTTTCCTTTGTGTCCTGTGTGTGGTGCAAGACAGCGGATGAAAGAATCGTCATTCTATTCATTATGCCTTACCATGTGGCAGATCCCACAGGAGTTTGTCAAGCTTCAAGTGAGCCAAGAAGAGTTCCTCTGTATGAAAGTGTTGCTACTTCTTAATACAAGTGAGTGTGTTCAAGTAACTTAATATAGTTTCTTAATGCATTAGGAAAGTCTCAAATAATAATATGATTATATAATTATATAAGATAGAAATCTGAGATTGTAAGTGTAAAAGAGAAACACCCAATATATTGTCATAGTCATTAATAAAATTACTTGATATTTTTCATATTTTATCTACCATTCTTAAATATTATATCATACTAACATAGCCTGGTCAATTCCTTTTTATTTTGAAAATATATGAAATGTCACTAAATGACATTTTCATATTCACCTAATTTGGTACTATAAACTACAGTCATGTGCCACATAATGACGTTTTAGTCAACAATGGACTGCATTTATGACAATAGGTCCCATAAGATTGTAATGCAGCTAAAAATTTCCTGTCATCTGGTGACATTATAGCTTTAGTAACTTCATAGCACCAAGCATTACTCTTGTGTTTGGGGCAATGCTGGTGTAAACAAACCTACTGCATTTCCCGGTTCTATAAAAGTATAGCACATACAATTGTACAGTGCATAATACTTGATAATGGCAATAAACGACTGTTACTAGTTTATGTGCTTACTTTTTAAATCAGTGTTTTAGAATGTACTACTTTTACTTATTAAAAAAAAACCAACTGTAAAGCAGCCTCAGGCAGGTCCTTCAGGAGGGATTCCAGAAGAAGGCAGTGTTACCATAGGAGATGACAGCTCCATGTGTGTTGCTGCCCCTGAAGAACTTACTGAGGTGGGAACCTATGGCCTTGGGCCACATGCGGCCTTCTGGGTCCTTGACTGCAGCCTTTTGACTAAATCCAAATTTGACAGAATAATTTCTTTTATTAAAAGGGGTGCAGCAAAGAAAAATGAAGCTTTTCTTTTTTTTTTTTCTTTTAAACTCCTTTGGTGTTTAAGAAAGAATAATCTTGAAATCATAAGGCCACAGGTTGTCTACCGCATGCTGTGTCTTTGTGTCTTAGCTTTGAACAAAAAAGTTTAAAAAGCAAAATAACAGAAATTAAAAATAGAAAAAAGCCTATAGAATAAGGATATAAAGAAAGAAAATACTTTTGTATAGCTGTACAATGTTTGTGTTTTAAGCTAAGTGTTATTACAAAAGAGTTAAAAAGTTAAAAAAAAATTAAGGCGTCTATAAAGTAAAAAAAGTTACAGTAAGCTAAAGTTAAATTATTGTTGAAGAAAGAAAACTAAATTTTATAAATACAGCATAGCCTAAAGGTAAGGGGTTTATAAAGTCTGTGGTAGCGGACAGTAATGTCCTAGGCCTTCACATTCACTCACCACTAACTCATTGATTCACCCAGAACAACTTCCAGTCCTGCCAACTGCATTTATGATAAGTTTTGTACCATATTTTTACTGTACCTTGTTTATGGTTAAATATGTTTAGATAAACAAATACTTACCATTGTGCTATAATTACCTACAGTATTCAGTACAGTAACATGCTGTACAGGTTTGTAGCCTAGGAGCAGTAGGCTGTACCATATGGCCTAGGCATGTAGTAGGCTATGCCATCTAAGTTTATGAAAGTGCACTTTGTGGTGTTCCCACAATGGTGAAAAATGCCACACTTCTCAGAATGCGTCCCCATCATTATGCAATACCTGACTGCCATTAATATAGCATAAACACAAACTATGCTTCCCTCTACTACCACCCCAAGACCCTCACAAAAATAGTCTCTATATAAAATACATAGTTTTTGGAAAAACAAGCACCACATATACTCACCAGCAAATTGGTATTAACTGAACAGCACCTAAGTGGTCTCATAGGTACTACAGTAATAGGGTATTGGGCAGGGGGGAGGGAGGCGGGTATATACATATATAATGAGTGAGATGTGCACCATCTGGGGGATGGTCATGCTGGAGACTCGGACTTGTGGGGGGAGGGAGGGAAATGGGCATTTATTGAAACCTTAAAATCTGTACCCTCATAATATGCTGAAATTAAAAAAAATTTAAAAAAATACATAATTTTGTTTGGAACTTTTGTTATATCAGGATAGGCTGCTATAACACATAACAATAGAGATTAATAGGTTAATAAAAATCACAGTATATTTGTCACTCAAAGACACAGTCCCATGGTTTAGCAAGAAAAATCCAGGTTCCTTCTATCCAGTGGCTCTACCTTTTCCTGGTAGCTTAGAGTCCTCCATTGGACCTGACTAGAAATGAGCACTGAGTGAGAGAAGTCTTGGAGGCAAGGCCTGAAACTATCAGGCATCACTTCCACTCACATTCCACGACCTGCCTTGACTTCAGGAAAGGTTGGGAAATGCAGCCTAGCTGTATGCCCAGAAGTAAAAGGAAGTGACTTATAATGCATGGCGTTGGTCACCAGAATTGGACAGGCGAATATCCCTTTTCTGTGCTCTTTCCATGCATAGTCAGGTTTAGCCCTGAAATGTACGAATCGATGCTTCCTTGACCTGTAGTGATTTGCAAGAGAGCCACAGGGAGCTAAGACCTCAGGTCAAGAGTGAGGCAAGGGTCTTTCTCAGCAGCATCTTTGCAGAGAGTCAACTGGAATATATTTAATAATATAGTAATTAACTTCTGCACTTCTTTGTTTGGTGTTAATTAATCCTATAGCAGTTATGTCATAGATAGTCCTAGATCTCCCAAATTAGTTTGCACCCTTCACATAATTCTGTATTTGTGGATGGGCTACATGATGTTGGGGGGAAAACAACCTCTTATATGTCCAGCGCAGGATCAGCAGGGAAGCTCTGCTCCTTTTCATCACTCAGAAATCCAGGCTAATGGAGGCTGTATCTTGACTCACGCTTCCACAGTCTCTAGAGCAGAGGTAAGGAAAGAAAGAGAGATACATCTGACTTCTCACATAGCATAGAGAGAAAGATTCTTGGCCACTTGCCACTTCAAGAAAAGGAAGCAAAAGGAACTATTTGGTGACTAGTACTTAATGTTCTCTGTAAATTCTAATCAAAATTCTAATGAGATTTGGGGGAAGAGAGTGAACTTAGCAAACCTATTGAGAATTCATCTTTAAATCTAGAGGAATAAATAAATGAGCATTGCAAAAATGTGAGGGGAATTAGAAAGCAACAATAATTAATACAGCATAGGAGATGAATGGATAACACTGAATTGTTAGTCAAGTCAGACAAGTAGATATTAGAATTTAAATGCTATAGTGGAAACACCACAAGTCAATGAGTATAGACTAAATAAATATTGTTGAGAAAAATAGTTTGGTATTTGAAGAAAAATAAGTTTGAATATTTAGCACAAATTATATTTTAAAATAAATAACAGATAATTGAGTAAACACTCAAATAATTAATAATCTAGAATAAAAATTTATTTTCAAATCTAAAATAGGAAATATCTTTTAAAAAATGAATGTAAGAGGAAACTTGGCAAAGAAAAAAATGATGATTTGATAGTTATAAAGGTAAATCTCCCATTTGCCATAAAAAATTAAAATACAGATCTCTAGGAATAGATACTAGGTTGAACATATACTTTTAGCATCTTTCCCTCTGAAATTACATAAAAATCTTAGTAAAGGGATTTAATAAGAAAAATTAAGGAAAATAATTTTATATTCATGTTTAAGAATGAAAGAGAAGTGGAGATTGATTGGGAACCTTTAAAAAAGTTGCTATGTGAAGTAACTAGACAAATGAGAGCCTAGAAACACATATGGTATTTTATATACATATAGATGTACATACAGGAGTTTTCAATTGAACAAATGTTGCATATTGCCAAAATTACCCTTGAAAAGCCTCTTTTTATTCAGGATCTGAGCTCTTGAAAACTCAAAACCAAAGAATTAACTTTTTTGACTTTTGCAAGTTTGTATCTGTGGCCTCATTTTTAAAAGAGGAGTAGAAGACAAGGTCTGATTGTGGTGCAGGGGATAAATATGGGTTTACAAAGGGTTATTTTTTCCTCCTATTTCCTGAGACTCAACAATATTGAAATTGGGCCAATTAACCCTACAGTGGCCTCTAAGAGTTCAAGTAAAAGGAAGAGTTGCATGTCTCTCACTTTAAATCAAAAGCTAGAAATGATGAAGCCTAGTAAGGAAAGCATGTCCAAAGCTGATATAAGCCGAAAGGTTGGCCTTTTGAACCAAACGGATAGCCAAGTTGTGAATGCAAAGGAAAGGTTCTTGAAGGAAATTAAAAAGCGCTGCTCCAGTAAACACAAATGATAAGAAAGCAAAGTCATCTTGCTAATGTGGAGAAGGTTTTAGTGGTCTGAATAGAGAAGATCAAACCAGCCACATATTCCCTTAAGCCAAAGCCTCCTCCAGAACAAGGCCCTAACTCTCTTCAATTCTATGAAGGCTGAGAGAGCTGATGAAGCCGCAGAAGAAAAATTTGAGGCTAGCAGAAACTGGCTCATGAGGTTTAAGGAAAGAAGCTGTTTCCATAACATAGAAGTACAAGAGGAAGCAGCAAGTGCTAATAGTAGAAGCTACAGTAAGTTATCCAGAAGATCTAGCTAAAATCATTGATGGTAGCTACACTGAACAACAGATTTTCAATGTGGATGAAACAGCCTTAGAAAGATGCAATCTAGGACTTTCATAGCTAGAAAGAAGTCAGTGCCTGGCTTCAGATCTTTAAAGGACAAGCTGACATTTTTGTTAGGTGCTAATGCAGCTGGTGACCTTAAATTGAAGCCAACGCTCATTTAGTATTCCAAAAATCCTAAGGATCTTAAGAATTAATGCTAAATTCTTAAGAATTAATGCTAAATCTTCTCTGCCTTTGCTCTATAAATGGAACAACAAAGCTGTATGACAACACATCTGTTTACAGCATGATTTACTGAATATTTTAAGCCCACTGTTGAGAACTACTGCTCAGAAAAAAATATGTCTTCTAAAATATACTGCTTATTGATAATGTACCTAGTCACCCAAGAACTCTGATGGGGGTGTACAAGGAGGTTAATGTTTTTTGTGACTGTTAACATCCATTCTGCAACCCATGGATCAAAGAGTAATTTTCAGTGTTTAAGGCTTATGCTTTAAGAAATACATTTTGTAAGGATATAGCTACTATACAGTGATTTCTCTGATGGATCTGGGTAAAGTAAATTGAGACCTTCTGGAAAGGATTCACCATTCTAGATGCCATTAAAACTATTATGAGAGGATGTCAAAATATCAACATTAACAAGAATTTAAACAAAGTTGTTTCCAACTCTCATGAATGACTTGGAGGTCTTCAAGACTTCAGTGGGGGAAATCACTATAGAGATGCTGGAATTAGCAAGAGAACTAGAATTAGAAGTGGAGCCTGAAGATGCAGTTGAATTGCTGCAATCCCAGGATTAAACTTGAATTGATTAGGAGCTGCTTCTTATGAATAAGTGAAGAAAGTGGTTTCCTGAGATGAAATCTACTCCTGGTGAAGATGTTGTGAACATTGTTGAAATGACAACAAAGGATTTAGGATATTTCATAAACGTAGTTGATAAAGCAGCAGCAAGTTTTGGCAAAGATTCCAATTTTGAAAGAATTTCTATTGTGGATAAAATGCTGTCAAACAGCATCACATGCTATCTCCACAAACTCTTTTGTGAAAGAAAGAGTCAATGTGCAAAACTTCATTGAGGTTTTATTTTAAGAAATTGCCACAGCCACCCCAACCTTCAGCAACCACCACACAGATTGGTCAGCAGCCATCAAGGCAAGACTTTCCACCAGCAAAAAGATTGTGACTTGCTAAAGGTCAGATGATTGTTAGCATTTTTAATCAATAAAACATTTTTAATTAAGGTCTGTACATTATTTTTTTTAGACATAACACTATTGCACACTTAATGCATTCTAGCATAGTGTAAACATAACTGTCGTATGCTCTCAGAAACCAAAAAAATTATGTGAGTGGCTTTACTGCAATATTCACTTTATTGTGGTGGTCTGGAGCTCAACCTGCAATATCTCCAAGGTTTGCCTGTATAACTAAGTGGCTGGATATAAGAGAAATGTTTAAATATGAATAGCTTTCTCCCATATCAGCAGGAAGGCATTAGAAAACTTAATGAAGCAATGTTTATATTACAATAAAAAAGATAAATTATCCAGGAATAATCTTAATAATCAAATTCTTGACATTTATATGAAGAAGACAAAACTTTACAGAGAGATCCAAGTTATTATGTAAAAAAAAAAAACAACAGAAAGAAAACCACGCAGATTATAGGTAGCCATAAACAAATCAAACCAAGTATTTGAGTAGGAATGTAGATTAATGTCAGATGCTCTTTTGAGCAAATGCTAACTAAATTAAATACATAATCCATCAATACAGGTCTAAAATAAGTCAGCTGAAATATTTGTTAATGCATTTAGTTGTTCTTATCATATTCTTTCAGTAAATTGGAAGTTTACATGTCTTGACACTATTGATAGTACTATCTCCATACTATTTTAGGTGTTTTTATCTGGAGTTACGTATAAAAAAAATGATTACATAGCTCAGAAATTTATATCATAAAATGTTATGATATAACATAAACTTTTTAAACATAACTGTCACTTGTAATTATCTTCTTACAGTTCCTTTGGAAGGACTAAGAAGTCAAAACCAATTTGAAGAGATGAGATCAAGCTACATTAGAGAGCTCATCAAGGCAATTGGTTTGAGGCAAAAAGGAGTTGTGTCTAGCTCACAGCGTTTCTATCAACTTACAAAACTTCTTGATAACTTGCATGATGTAAGTGTTTGGTTTTCAGAGATTACTAATGATTATTCTCTGAATTTCTATAACTTTTTAAATGTGACATTTAAATTTTACTTTATATATTTTTTCAAATTCCTATTTGTATTTGTGTCATAAGAGTGTATCATACTGCTCAGAATTTATATACTTTTTTCATTTTCAATGTAGATCATCCAAATATACTTTTATGAGTATTTGTATAATCCAAGAGTAATTTAATGGCTGATAGGAATTATGGTACATTATCTTGAATATGTTCTAAATTATTGTTGCCTTAAATTATAAAAGATTTCATGTATCTTGCAAAAGCAAAACTATGTATGTGGTAAATAAGGCTTTCAAACTATTTTGGTTGGAATTATAAATAACATTGCTTATGGATAGGCAATCAGGCAATATATAGCAAAAGTTAAAATCTGCATGCTTTTCAAGTTTCTGTTTTTTAGGATTTACCTTAAATTAGGCAAGAATGTAATAGAAATATATATATATATTCTCTCTATATATATACATATATGTATAAGGATGTTCACCACAGTAGAGGAAAACAAAACTAGAAATGCCAACACCATAACTGGATTAACAAGACAAGATATATGTGGTTTGTCAAGATATATTGAATATAAACTTTTATTGCTACCATGTTCAGAAGTCACATTAAAATGACAGTTAAGGGATACAAAAGCTATCCAGTCACCAGGTCAACTTTTGAAGGCCTTACTCTGGAATATGAACAGATAGCAAAGTTTATAAGCTACTTGAGTAAAGTTTCTAAAATGAGAAGCAGAAAGCAAAATAAACAGAAAGAAACTTGAAGGAAAAAGCACCAGTGCAGAGAACAGGAATAAAAAAAAAAAAAAAAACCTTCTAAGATATTCAGGGAAATAAGAATGATAGCATGTCCATAAAATGAAAATAGAAAACATTAAAAATGAACATTTAGCAAGAAAATACTTTTGTATAATTAAATATATAAAGGCATAAATTCAATAATAGGGCTGAAATATTAATGAAACTCTGAGAAAAAAAGTAATAAAGATAAAAACATGGACAATTACAAAGAAGGATAGAAAATTTAGTATCTAAAGGTTGTTATCCTCTAGTTAGTAGGAATTTCCAAAGAAAGAATGGAAAAATCAAGGAGAGAAAATTATATGAGAAATTATAGAAGTTGCTAGAAGATATGAGCTTTCTAACTCTTAAGGGTCCAGTAGTTACAGGCAATGCACTATTGAATCAAGGCACATTGTAAAATTTCGGCATACCAGAAAGGAAGAGAATGTCTTAAAATATGCAAATGAGAAAAGAAACAAGTCACACACAAGCTGTCAGGATTCAGAATGATGTTGGACTTCTTAATAGCGACACTGGAAGCCAGAAGACAATGGAGCAATGCCATCAGAATTTTGAAGGAAAAAAAAAAGTCTTCAAAGAATTTGAAACCATCCAACACATATGATGGCACCATAAATGTATTTTCAAACATGCAAGGTCTCATAGAGTTTACCTCAAATACAACTTTTCTCAAGAACTACAGGATGTCTTGCAACAAAACACTGGAATAAGCCAAAGAAATAGGGGACCCGACCCAAGAGATGCAAAGTGATGTCCCAGCACAATAACTGCGGAGCAATAATTATTCTGGATTAGAGGGTTCTAGGATACTAGTTCCAGGTTAAAAAAAAAAAAATGGAACTGAGAGATTACTAGTAAATATAACCATAATGAGGTGATTTTTGTAACTCTGTCAGATAATTTGACGATAGCTTTGTGACAAATATAGAGAAACAAAGCAAACACAGGTGGTTTAGCTTTTGCAAAATAAAAACAAGTTGATAGGAAAGGAAATGGAATCTAGCAGCAAATAATAAAAATCTTTAAATGCTGGACATCGATTAACTCAAAATTAACACATAATTATGTAGAAAATAGGGAGAACTCTGTGTGTAGTTGAGAAGTGAAGTGTATAGTACAAGAGAGTGAAATCCTCATTTGCCATAGTAGAAACTCAGTCAATAATGTCAAAATTGGAAAATAAACTTTAGTAGAAATGCAGAGATAAGTTTCAAGACACAGGCTAAGAAAGTTGTAAGTAGTTGTGTCTGGGGAGCTGGAATAAATACAGGAAGGAGGATATCAGGAAACTGCTGGGTTTTGTTACTGCTGCTGCCACTGTTGTTTTTGTTTGTATAAATCTTGTCGTACTCGTTGACTTTTAAATTAATATATACATGAATTACTTTATTGAAAATGAAAAATTAGCTTAAAATGAATTATGTTGGATTATTGGCATAGGAAGAATCAATATATTGTACATAAAACAGCCAGATTAGCAATTATAATTTATAAAATAATTGCATTTTGAAAATAATCATGTGTGTGTAATATTGTATATATACTTATGTATATCTGTATACACGTATAAAAAGAAAAAAAACTTGAAAAATATACCAAAATGTTCAGATAAGTAGTCCTGTGAGATTATAAAGAACTTTCATTTCTTTAAATCTTTCCATATTATGAGAATATTTCATCATGAGTACGTAAATATTTTACATGTTATTCTAGAGAGTGTGGTGGTAGTTCTTTTTATTTTGGTGAGAAAAAAACATCTTGACAAGTACTTATGTTGTTAGAAAAATAAGTTACTGTGTTTGAATAATATGTGAATTTTTTATTTTTCTTAAATGTTTCCTACCTGTTTGTTAAACCAACAGCTCGTCAAACAACTTCATCTGTACTGCTTGAATACATTCATCCAGTCCCGGGCATTGAGTGTTGAATTTCCAGAAATGATGTCTGAAGTTATTGCTGCACAACTACCCAAGATCTTGGCAGGGATGGTGAAACCTCTTCTCTTTCATAAAAAGTGAATGTTATCTTTTTCTTTAAAACAATTAAATTTTGTGATACTTCTTTTTGTTTGGGTCAGGATTATGAGGTTTCAAGTTTTTATAATGTTCTTCTGAAAGCCTTACATTTATAACATATCATACCATATAATTTGAAGAGAAAAATTGTGAGATTCTAATTATTTTCCTTTGTAAAGCATAATTAGAATTTTTAAAGTGTTTTGTGTACTCATATTTTCTTTAAGTGTTTACAAGATTGAAAAAGTACAAAACTTGATTGTTGACATAAATTATATATTATCCATATTGTTTCATACCATATAGGTGAGGATTTTTAACTTTTACATCTAACAAATCTACTTCAGAGAAAAAAAATGTTACATGTAATAATAAGAAGCTATTATATATGTTATTTCTAGGAAGCTCCCTGTGTCTCCTTGACTATATTTCCAAAGATGAACCTTTAAAATGTTATGCAAAATTTTATCTACACTAGTGTATATACATTTCTATGAGGAAGAAATTTATAACCTTAATCAGATTTCGAAAGTCTTTTTAATGTAAAAAATATAGAGAGAAAGAGTTAAAAAAAAAAAAAAAGAAAAATAAAGAAATACTGAAATAGATTGATGTTTTGCAACCTAGGCAAGACAGCTGATATAAGACTGTTTCCCAGATTGGAAACACAAATCTCCAAGGAAGTTATTAAGTAGAGCCATATTATTATGACAACAGTATTATGGGTTTTGTAGTTTCTTTTACTAAATTTTTTTGGAAGAAAGTTGTCCTCTAATAAGATATTTTGAACAGAAATAGGAAGTTAGAAGATTCTGTGGCTTAACTACACTCATATGGTGTGTGGAAAGTCATTCAACCTCACTGATTCAATTTCCTCACCTTGACAAGTGGTAGAATGATATCTTTCCTGCTATTTGCTTCTTTTGGTCAAAGCTGCTTATTAGCATCTGAAATCAAAGAAGGAAGAAAGGAAGAGAGGAGGGGAGGGAGGAAGTGAAGGAGGGAAAGAAAGAGGGAGGAAGAAAGAAAGATAGATACTATCCTCTTTCTCTAGTCCTCAAAAACTTGAGAATGGTGTTTTTTTTTTCAGTGAGGCATAGTTAGATGAATCTAAGGTTGAAAATTTTTGAGTGCCTTTGATCCAGTTAGTTCTAAGAGAGATGTTTCAGGAAATATTAGATACTGGCTTAAAACAATAGAGCCAATTATAATAACTAGAAAACACACAGTTAACATTGTTATGTGAACTTAAAATATTCCTTTACAAGACAGACAAGAGTTCTTTTCTGAGGTGAGTCACTAGAGATTTCTTTCTTTAAAAAGGACAAGAAGGAAAAACAAAAAAATATATATAAATGAGAAGAACCAAGTTCATACCATTGGTGAAGTTCAATCAAAACCAGTCATTGTTTACTTGTCTAAGAAAAGTAATTTATGCCAATTTTACCATATATATGTATATGTAAGTAATAACAACTCAGAGAAACTAGTAGACCCAATTTTCTTTTTCTAAATTTCTTTAAAATTACACATCTTATCTTACAAATAAAACATACTACCTTGTGCAAATTAATAGTTATTAATGAGAAAATCAAAGTAACTTTGAAACTATAGAAAAAAATTTACTGATATTCTAATTTCTCAATGCATTTTTAACGAACCTTTCCTTTTAACTGATAAATACTTGTAGTTTACCAAGAAACAATAACATAGAATATTCTTAATGAATACTAATGTGACCCCCAAAACAAGGTAAAGTGGTTTCATCTGATCAAAAATGTGGCATAATAATGTTACTGTAACCATTTTTTACCAAAAATTCTTCAATTTATGAAAAGGATTAGTTATGGGCTATCTATAAACAGTGAATTTTTATAGGGCATTTAAAATAGGGATTAAAACAAGCTTCAACCAGGGATCTTGGCTGGGTTTATTAGCTATACGTGGAAAATATAATAAGTCATATACACATTTATAACTTCTGATTATAACATTTCAGAGTTTAACCCAACTATTCCAAGTAATACTGCTTAAACAGTATATAAAAATAGTCTCTTCCTCAGTATGTCTATATACATTTTTTTTTTTTTTTTGTGAATGTGTATGGATTACAGTAAACTCTTGACTGGTATTTTGTTCTTCAAAGTCTTTATACATATACATACACGCTCACTTTCCATTCCCCAGATCAAAGTTACCTTTCTTAGAAGGATCTAGGTTTGCCATTTTGTCACTGTGAAATGTTCCCTGACTTCAGATCACCTACCACAGTAATTCTCAGTCATAGCCCAGTATTGCATTGGGCTTTTAAAAATACATTACTGGGCTCCATACTCAAGAGATTATATTTTCATTGGTCCATTCTTATTAATGCAGAAACAGAGTAGGTGCTCTGAAATAGTGTTTGAGCATCAATTGACATAACTTTCTTCTCTTTATCCTCCACTGACATGCATTCATCTTATGTTCCAGCCATGTAAATCTTTTTACCATCAATTATCTGCCATAATTTCCCCCCTTTGACACCAATCCCATACATAGATCAACCTTCAAGACTTTCTGTAAAAATCTTCTCTGAGTCTTCCAAACAGTGATTTGCCTCCTTATAGGGTTCACCTGACATTTTGTGTACATCTGAATTATAATAGCATGTTGTTTTACAATTCCGACTCTCCTACAGTCTGAAAGACACTTTAAGGTGGGACAATAGTATTTTTAGACTGAGAGTTGAATGGCATGTTCTGTCTTTCGTATCACTGTAGTTCTCTTTCTTTGCTTTGTACCTATGACTTTATAATTTCTCTTTCCATGATTCCCTATTTCCATCTCTTCATTTCTTTCATTGCTTTTAAACTTTCCACTTTTTCTCCCTACTTTGTGAAATCTCTCCCTTTACTGACTTATAGGAGAGTAGAAGTACATTTTATGTGTATTGAGAAAAATGCTTTTTGTTTCTTGTTCTAAATTTTAAAACCAAATTAAGGGAATCTTATTTCCCTCTCTAAGAAAAATTTCACAGATACAATTGTTTCTTATGTTTAAATAGCCTTAAATCGTTTTTTATTATAAACCTTAATATAAAAATTTCCCTATTTCCTTATTTTTTCCCTTCTTTCCTTATTTTTTATTTTCCTTATTTCATTCAAGAAATACTTATTGTCTGCTATTAGCACAAGAAAATATGCTAATATGCTTAATGAGAATTTGGAGCTGAAGAAAAACTATTAACTCAAGAAAGTTACAGATCAGTGATAGGTATAAATAACAGTTCTTGATAAATAGTAGGCACTCTAGCATCAAATATTAGATGTGATAGGTGCAAAGCATTATTTACATATAATCTTACTGAGACAAATGCAGCACAAATATACTAACTTTAAAATTAATATTAAATAACACCTTTATTTAGTTGTGTCAGTAATTAGTGTTAAATCTATATGTACATTTGTTTATTGAAAAAGGTTTCAATATATTTTTCCCCACAAATATCATACCAATAAAATATTTTTAATCTCTCTCACATACAATATTTAAAGGAAATCTACCTCGGTGGGAGTGATACCTCTCAGAATGGACTATGTGACGTAAGTAAATGAATGTAGGTCTGTCAAAAATCCCCCAAAAAAACAAAAAACGTCATTAGCCCTTTATACCCAAATAATGTACTCAGGGAATAGTTGATGATATGATCATTTTATTATCTGATTATTGTTACCTTGAATTAATGTTTAATACAATATTTTGATGATATTAATACAAATCCTTTTTCAACAGCACAGAGTTAATTCCATAATAATTTTTAAATATCCTGATTTCACTCATCTATGAGGGAATAGAATGTGGTAGCCCCAGGTCTGGCTTTTGTTAAGAATGTTTGATATTTTTGATGTTGATCTTGATCCACAGTGTAGATTTCTAAACACTAGGGTTTAATAATTAAGGCCAAGCTTAAAAAAAAAAAAAAAACTTTTGAAAAAGAACATGACATCAAATGGAAACTATCTAGTCTCTAAATCTTTTCTTCTACAAATTCCTACCTACTAATGTCTCTATTACTATGCAGTCATCATAACCTTTATCTTCATTTTACAGGTCACATTCTTTCTGGTAGCTCTAAAGTGAAATTAAATCATAAGAAGACAGGTTATACATCAGGAAATACTTGAAGGTTACTGAAATAGATTCTTGAGTTAATGAAAATATTTTCCTTAAAAAGGTTTAAAATTCATTTGCATCTGAAGCAATTATATCTCAAATATCAGTTGTTATATGACAGCATTTTTTGTGTTTTTAATGTTTAAAGACATGGCACTTTTTAGTAAGGCAATGTAATGCTATTTTTTTCACATTTAACACTAAAATAATTTATTGCTACATAGATGATATGGAAATATGATAAGCAATATGTTTTCTGCCAAAACTATGCCTTTGAAACAGCCATGGCATATCAACCTGAAACTTCTAAATTATCCACAGCTACAAAGATGTATTGATGCTGGGCACCTTGGAGAGAGCTGACGTAGGACTGGGCCCAGCTTCTCTGCCCCTGACTAGGACTGGATGAGCTTAAGCAAGTCTTTTAATCTCTCTGATTAACCTGCGTTTGCCCAAGTGTTTTCTGATTAGTAGAAATGGAAACCAAAAATGTATACAGGTGTTCAGAAATAGTAATTGCCATCATTATGTTTTCATTAAGACATAGTTCTGGCTATACTTTTACCAAACTAATCAGCTATATTCTATGGTAAAACCAGAAATCTAGAAACCCAGTTGCTTTATTTCTATCATTATGTACTAACATATATTTGGTTGATTTCATCTGAAATTAGGGCTAGAAGTGTTCAAGTAATTTCTTCCTCTGGAAAGATAGTCTTTTGAGTTTGTGGCCTGTTTTATAAAAAATCTAAAGAGCCTATCCCCCTTTCTTTATAAATAAGAATAATATTACTGATTTTTGACATTTTAAGGTATCTCTTTAAAATATAGAGAGACTGATTAGAATATGGCCCCTCTAAAAATGTATACTATATACTACATGCTGAAATTATTATTTTTT